CGCCTGAGATACATAATAGCCGCCACCCCAGCAGCGCTAACGGAAAAAAAATTACAACCAAAGAATCTTTGTTTTAAACACAGGTTGCTAATGCATTTTTTTTTTACTATCTTTTTAAAATCCGAAATATAAAGGTTTAAGCATTAACTGGAATACATTTCCCCAAGGCTTGAGAAAACAAAATCTACTGGATGACTTATGTTTCGACCTGGTGACAATTGTCACCAAGGTTGTCCTGACAATTTTTACCCCAGCTTGACTTTAACAAAGATATCTGGTTCACAGGAAAACCTCTAAATGCTATTTGTAAGCCAATATCCTAACCTATGATGACTAAACTCTTGCTACAAGAGTGTCCAACACATGGAGAACAGAGACAAGTATTCTGGCCAACACATGGAGAACAGAGACAAGTATTCTGGCCAACACATGGAGAACAGAGACAAGTATTCTGGCCAACACATGGAGAACAGAGACAAGTATTCTGGCCAACACATGGAGAACAGAGACAAGTATTCTGGCCAACACATGGAGAACAGAGACAAGTATTCTGGCCAACACATGGAGAACAGAGACAAGTATTCTGGCCAACACATGGAGAACAGAGACAAGTATTCTGGCCAACACATGGAGAACAGAGACAAGTATTCTAGCCAACACATGGAGAACAGAGACAAGTATTCTGGCCAACACATGGAGAACAGAGACAAGTATTCTGGCCATCACATGGAGAACAGAGACAAGTATTCTGGCTAACACATGGAGAACAGAGACAAGTATTCTGGCCAACACATGGAGAACAGAGACAAGTATTCTGGCCAACACATGGAGAACAGAGACAAGTATTCTGGCCAACACATGGAGAACAGAGACAAGTATTCTGGCCAACACATGGAGAACAGAGACAAGTATTCTGGCCAACACATGGAGAACAGAGACAAGTATTCTGGCCAACACATGGAGAACAGAGACAAGTATTCTGGCCAACACATGGAGAACAGAGACAAGTATTCTGGCCAACACATGGAGAACAGAGACAAGTATTCTGGCCAACACACGGAGAACAGAGACAAGTATTCTGGCCAACACATGGAGAACAGAGACAAGTATTCTGGCCAACACATGGAGAACAGAGACAAGTATTCTGGCCAACACATGGAGAACAGAGACAAGTATTCTGGCCAACACATGGAGAACAGAGACAAGTATTCTGGCCAACACATGGAGAACAGAGACAAGTATTCTGGCCAACACATGGAGAACAGAGACAAGTATTCTGGCCAACACATGGAGAACAGAGACAAGTATTCTGGCCAACACATGGAGAACAGAGACAAGTATTCTGGCCAACACATGGAGAACAGAGACAAGTATTCTAGCCAACACATGGAGAACAGAGACAAGTATTCTGGCCAACACATGGAGAACAGAGACAAGTATTCTGGCCAACACATGGAGAACAGAGACAAGTATTCTAGCCAACACATGGAGAACAGAGACAAGTATTCTGGCCAACACATGGAGAACAGAGACAAGTATTCTGGCCAACACATGGAGAACAGAGACAAGTATTCTGGCCAACACATGGAGAACAGAGACAAGTATTCTGGCCAACACATGGAGAACAGAGACAAGTATTCTAGCCAACACATGGAGAACAGAGACAAGTATTCTGGCCAACACATGGAGAACAGAGACAAGTATTCTGGCCAACACATGGAGAACAGAGACAAGTATTCTGGCCAACACATGGAGAACAGAGACAAGTATTCTGGCCAACACATGGAGAACAGAGACAAGTATTCTGGCCAACACATGGAGAACAGAGACAAGTATTCTGGCCAACACATGGAGAACAGAGACAAGTATTCTGGCCAACACATGGAGAACAGAGACAAGTATTCTGGCCAACACATGGAGAACAGAGACAAGTATTCTGGCCAACACCCGCTGCTTTTGAGGACAAACTTTGTAGAGATGTCAACTACCTTAAACTGACTGCCTATTTTTTTAAAAACATATTCACACTGATGTCTGAAGGTATAAGAAAACGAAAACTGTCACGGGTTCTCGAAGTTGATGGTCCACAAGAGTTCTACATAATTCATGATGTGTGAAGAAAATGAAAGGGACCATTCTGTCCTTATTTGAGTTTGGTTTATACAAAAGATCGACATCATAGCACAAGGGTATTAACCCATAAGTGCTCCGTTCTACTTTTAACTCAATCCTGAGTCTGAAGAATCTCAGTGCCATTCACGAACTCCAAAGCGCGGATGGTTAGTTGCGTATCCTTTACAGGACGTTGCAAAACTAACCCCAACAGCCCCTGGCTGTTGTGTGGTTTTTCTGGGCAAATTTACGTCCAGTAGTATGCCCTGCTTTCTGGACGGTCGGCTTTCTTGGTACCACTGTCGAAACCAAAGCAAGGCACATGGCCTGCAGCTGGGATCGAACCCGGCATCCCAAAGCGTTCGCATCAACTTACCACAGAGCCGACATAGCACGGATGAGGATCCTGAAATACTTTGGGTAAATTTTAACTCAAAATTTTGGCCAGGCAGCACTGTTAAGCTACTCTTTTCGATTTCCAACTGCCAAGGGATTTCTTACGTCTGCAACAATACACACGGGTGTCCTATCTTACTACCAAACGACCAGAGGGAATTACTAGAAGCCCATGTAAAAAAAATCCCAGCGGCCTCCAGCACTCGAGGCGGACGCCATGCCATGAGAAAACTCAGCCAGCACCATGTATTGGTTCTGCATTTGTGGAAGCTGCCTTGGATGGCAGGGAATGCTGATGTTTTGCCCCTGCCTTCTCTTGAGGACTGTGACCTTCTCTGGACTAGTCTGATGTGGGAAACCACCTGTGAACTGGGATGATTACATAATGAGATTGCAATGTCCCACAAACTATAACAAACTTAACGTTTGCAAGTTACATCGATGGGTTGGCCGGAGAAGAACAAGAACTAGTCGAGCTTGTAAATCAACTCGATGAAACATCAACCAAGTATGGCATGGAAATAAACGCAGAAAAAACCACAAAGTCAGGACTAATAATCCAGCTGGCAGAATTTCACCAATCTACGTACGTTAAAGGCCACAAGTTAGAACATGTGACTCATTTCAAATCTTAAGAAAGTGACTTGGGGTCACGACCTAAATCATGTCTAGGATTGTCCAGACAACACCAGTCCTTGCCAAGCAGCAAACTTTATAAAGATTCAAAAACATTTCATGCAAAACTAAGATTCGATTGCTCAGAGCACTAGCTATTAGTATATATACATATGGCTGTGAAACGTGGACTTTAACATCTGAACTTGAAAGAAAGATACAAGCATTAGAAATGGGATGTTTCAGAAAAATTCTTGCCATATAATGCTGAGACCATATTACTAATGAAGAGGATCGCCATAAAATTATACAGCACATTGGCAACTATGAATCTCTTTTAACTAAAGTGAAAAGACAAAAAATGCAATTGTATGGACATAAAATAAGATCTAACAGCCTCTCAAACACACACTCAGGACTCAGTAGAGGGAAAGGGGAAAAGAGACATGACGAAAGACCCGGTTACAGAACCTGACTGACTGGACAAGCCTCAGGCATGAAGTCCATCGTAACTGACCGCCAAAGTGGAGGGAGCTGATCACAGTCAACACAAACTGGTAAACCATTGACACCAGTTATGGGAAGATCAGTCAATATGGCTTCCACACACACAACAGCAAACTGGTTCACAAGAAAATGGTCAAAACATTATTTGCAGGTGCAAACATAGCCCATGTCATTAACTCAAGAGCCTTGTAAACACGTCCCTAGAAATGCTGGTTGGGCTGCATTAATAAGGAATTGGACCCTCCAGAAGTGCTGGGTTTGTGGCTTCACATGATGAAAAGGTTATCCTTGCCACTTAATGAGAGATCTGTGCTTAGTTCCCTCCTAGTTTTGGGGGAAATAATGGGAGATTTCCTAGCAAACAGATTACTGCTCTGACTTTCCTAAGTGTGGTCCTGGTTCATTGTTATGAACATGTTTCATACACAACTTAAAACCCTACAATCAAACATTCAATTCCAACAGTAATGCAATCCTTACATTTACAAATAAAATTCAACAAAGCCCTCTGCACAGTTCAATCAATTTATCAACCATTTTAAAATAGTTTGTTCTCTAAATCTGATAGCTGGTGTTGACAAACGGCTGGTCATTTTCTTCTCATGTGTCATGCCAGTGGGGACATTTCCCTTCCCAGATACCTTCGCTGCAGGTGACATTTTCCTTCCAATCATACCTTGCTGTGGGGGATATTTACTTTCTTATACCAGGCTTCAACATTTTTTTGTGTGCAACATTAATTGTGACAGTGACATACGACAACTGAAATAAGTAATTTACCACTATGATAGCATTTATGAAACACTGACCAGCTGCAAGACTAATACGTTTTTTTTTTTAAATCATTGCGTTATGAGATGACAATGAATACAAATATAATACAAAAGTGATTTAATTTAAATTAACAAATGTGACATTTACTGCAAAACTAAAAAACAAAGACAATAGCCAGTTGCTGTAAACAATGGAATCGCTCAACAAATCCCATACTGCTGCATGTTTACAATGATGATGTTATGTTGTATCCAGAACACATGAATTCATTCCATGTATACAGCAAGAGTACAACATCTAAAACTGTCGCATGTATGCTGCTGGCCAACACACACATCTTCAGTATTTATCATAAAATATGTGGCCTCTCCCCCAACTCTTATGTTTGAAAATGTGAGCAGGATGCCTTTTGGTCATCCACTCCCTGTACATACACAACACACACACACGTTTGTGACTGGCAAATTAAAAACATAATTACAATCTTGCACCAGCAGACTGCAGAAACAGCACAAAGACATAGCATGAGGGTTATGTAATGGACTGGACATTATGGAACATCAAACAAGCGTGGAGACTGACAGATGGGAGCCGGTCTAATCAACAGTCTCATCGACCACGACTCCATCACTGGGACGACTCTCAGATGCTCCTCCTCCGGCAGCTGCCAAGCGCTGATAACAGAAAATCAGTTTGTTCTCGTAAGGCAACAAACACATAAGCTCACATACACTAGACGTGTCGTAACATGATTACATGTGATATCCCCAGTGTGGGACCGTGTGAAATCCCCAGTGTGGGACCGTGTGAAATCCCCAGTGTGGGTACCATGTGAAATCCTCCGTGTGTGAACATGTTAAGTCACCTATGTGGGAACATGTCAAATCTCCCACGTTCCCAACTGGCTGGCGTCATCAAAGATTTGCTGAAAGGCAGAAACATCCTTACCCAGCTGTGAATAACAATACAAGCGCCAACTGTCCTTGTTTAGGGCAAATGTACAACACATACAATTTTACTAATATGAAAACTAACTAGGACTTTCATTAGAAGACCTGAAGGCCTGACTAAAAAAGGGACAAGTCTAGTCAGGGGTACCAGGACAGCTCTGGGAAGTAAAGGTGGCTGACATGATCCAGTGCTCCATAAAGTACAGACCTAGCCCTATATGCCTGAGTGCATGGAAAAGGGTCCTTGACTTCTACTGGTCAGGGGTGAACAGTTTACTGACCGCTGACCTTTCAATGACTAGTACATCTACTGTAGGCTTCAGCAAAACTGGCATGTTTGTTTTCTTTGAAATACAATAAAGGAAATTTCAAATACAATATTCTCTGGTGGTTACCTCAGTATTTTTCTGTTGTCTCCCTTACAATCTCACCATTCTTCTCAAAGACCATATCTTTACTGTCTCCAGCTTCAACTCATTTCATGATTGGCATTCGTACGGAAGAATAACTTTCTTCTTCAAATTTACTAGCAGTAACTATGGCGTCCATACAGAAGAACAACATTCTTCTTCACCGGCTGTTAACTCTGGCATAACAGTTTGGATTATTTTGTCCACTTCTGGACTCAGATACTGTTCTACAAGTTGATAGCTTTGTGTGTACATTCATTTTACAGATCTGGCTTATTTGTATGCAAACTGTTGGTTCCTTGCCTCTATCCATTATCTTTTTTCCCCACGACAGGGTGCCCAAGCCCATATGGTAAGGATAAAATCTCTTTATTTTAGAACCGCTGTACAATTCCCGTAAATACCCTGGCTTTAAGAGCGCTTTTGCAGACCTGACCCTTGTCACCTGAAGCAGGACAACTACCTGCCAATAAAGTAAACGAAACAACCAAAAGTATGGAACACTTACTGCACCAACAGAAGGCAACTTCTGTACTAGAAGTGCGAAGACCTGAGGAGGTAGAGTCTGTTGCAGCACCTGCAGCAGTTGCTGTGGCTGGCCACACACGGCCACAGCATTGCTCAGATGCTCCACTCCTTCTTCAATGTCACCTGAAAGACACCAAGCAGTAGAATATATTCACCAGGTCAAGGTGAGTCAATATAAACACACCAGTTAGTGTAGCACTTCCCAACCTAACAAAAGAGGCTTGCACAACTGACAGATGGCAATGGTAACACAGCAATGTGATCAGTGATACCACAGGCTGCGTCTAGAATGAGGTGCAGCAGGGTGAAGCATATTCCAACACCACATCTAATATGAGATGGAAGTAAAGGCTGACTATACAGTTCTGAAACATCTTTCTGAGACTATTCAATGAGGCAGTCATCATAACTTCTGAAATGCACTGTCATCGCCTCTTCTCCCCTCACACCTATAAAAGCTTAAACGGTTCTACTGTGCTCACAGATGAGTTGACCGGCCAGCTTCAACATCCCTGTACCTCCTTTATGTTAGGCAAAGTATACCTGGCTTTTTCAGAACCGTACCTCCTATCATTGTTGTTTCCACACTACTGTGGCATTTAATGTGGCCAAAGTAAATCAGTTTCCCGGATATGCTGATGTTTGTGGGCTAGTTTCCTTCAGTGGTCAGAACTTGTGTGTGGGTGTGGTTTCCTTCAATGGTCAGAAATTATGTGTGTGTAGTTTCCTTCTTCCTGGCATAAGTTATTGTAATAATTCATCTGTCACATCCAAGTCTAAAGGCTGGTTCTCTTGGTGAGTGACTGCAACATTGTCCTAGACATACACCCGTAACATAAGCCCCAATTCACATATTTATCAAACATGAAACGCAACACTGACAACCAACGACTATTATTAACCACCCAACTTATACAGTAACAAACCACTACTATTACATATCAAGTTATGCTGTAACAAACTTCTGTTACACACCCAAGTATACAGTAAACAATGACTACTGTTACACACCCAAGTATACAGTAAGCAATGACTACTGTTACACACCCAAGTATACAGTAACCAATGACTACTGTTACACAACCAGCTATAAAGTATCAAATAATTTCTGTTATACACCCAGTTATACAGTAACCAACTACTGTTACACAACCACATATACAGTAACCTCCTTCTACTTCTTTGTTCAGTGGCTGTACGCTCCAGTGGAAAGTCTTGGGCCTTCGTTGATTTGGACATTGGCTTTGTGCCAGGGTCTGTGTTTTTGCATGTATATCCGTTTTATTGGCTCATTTATGTGTAGCTGGCTGTTCCTTGTCGCTCTGGCAGATGTAGTACGACTCTAAAGGAGGCCAATAATTAGTCAACTTCTACGGCATGCAGGTTTGGGGGGCAGTGGTTCTAATCTTGTTTTCCCCACAATGGGGCCCTGGAGCCCACACAGGGCATACAGTCAGCAACAATTTGTACATCCCGATAGAGACAACTTACCCATGGCCAGAAACTCTTCTCCTTTCTGCACCTCCTGGAGGAAAAATCTCTGCAAGGCCTCTGGGTTTGTGAGGTCTGGAAGCTGTAGATGAGACAACAGACAACTTTGGGTTAGTCCACTGTGCAGCAGTACATGTGCACTCTTACAGTATTGTAACTAGACAACAAGACAAAATGAGTTAATCCACTGTGCGGCAGTACATGTGCACTCATTAAAAAAAGTCGGGAGATGTGAACCAGCGTCACTGCACACGGTTATAAACCATAAGTGCTCTGCCACCAGTGCGGACAGCTAAAAAGAAACTGTCCGCCTGTGTTGCCGTCCGCACGTAACTCTGTAGATACAGCGGCGTTCCTCCATTTACCCCAGAGTGTCAACTCTGGTACCCTTTTCCTAGAGGCTGGGTGAACACCGACCGTGGGCTGCAGCGAGTCGCAGCTGGGTTTGAAAGCTAGTCTTGTATTGACTGCGATAACACTGCTGCATATGTGCTCTCACTATGATAACTGTGGATGAAACAACAGGGGTTTATCCATTGTGCAGCAGTATATGTGCACTCATACACTATGATTACTGTGGATGAAGCTACCACAGAAAGGAGGAACAATTTCAGGCCCTTGCTTTCTCGTGACATTGTTTTTTAAACTTGTGGATGATCCCCAACCAAACCCCACCTATTCATGACACTGGCTACATCGAATATATAAAGGTATTGACAGGTGTTTGTAACAAAAGCCACACCTGTCATGACAGCAACATTAACTGTTACTGTTTCCAAGAACCACATTTCTGTTAAATGAATGTGAATGAATCAAGAACTAACATCACGGCACTCGGGACACTCCCACGGGTGCTCCTTCTCCTTACTCAGAAGCCAAACAACAACAAAATTCAATGTGCTAACAGTACCAGATTGAACCTAAATAAAAGTCTACCTATGCCCCGTCTCCCCTCCCCCTTTTCCACCCCGTGTGTCAAATTTCCACCATAACCTCTATTTACACCCCCCACCCCAACTGTTGAATTTCAGAGTTAATTAACATGATATATTAAATACTGAAGGCAAACATTTGGCATTCACATAAATAATTATAATAAATGGGGGGGGGGGGAGATAATTTATCTGCATCTATCGAGAAACCAAAAACTGTTTTCTATACCGATACAAATAATGAAGGCAAACATTTGGCATTCACATAAATAATTATAATAAATGGGGGAGGGGGAATAATTTATCTGCATCTATAGAGAAACCAAAAACTTATCTATACCGATACAAGTGACAGGACAACATCCAGAGATGGGAAACCAGCTGATAGAGTTTACTACCAAGACAAGAGACAGACAGTGTTGGAGATTCCCTGGCAACCACCTTTGTTGTGCAGAAGGCACCTGATTCACTGATACCTTAAATAAAAGAAAATTACTTGTGCAAATCAAAAACTGGAGATCTGTGAGAAAAGAAAGAACTGGCATAGATAACTGACAAAATCTGGCTTACTGTAGAGGATCCATTTCTAGATTTCTGCTGCCTTGACCTTTTCCTTCCTGAAGACAGAAACAGCCGATGTTTAAACAGATGCCAGTAAAAAATAACACCTAACATAATATTTACTATCAAACCCAGTCTGCAATATCCAACAAAATTCCAGTTCAGTTTGGCAAAATAATCAGCTTCACTGCATAAACAAGGGCTCTAGTCCCAAATTGTCTATCACATACGAGTGCTCAACACAGAGCAGCAATACCTCAGCTAAGTGCATGTGTATACAGTAGGATCTTATGTGTTTCACATTTCTTTGGGCAAGGTTTTCCCCGTTGAGCCTCAGACTAGTTCAGCCGACTTCGATGTTGAGCTGTTGGTACAATTTCAACATGGGCAAAAAGAACATATGATCCCCTGAGTGTTTCACATTTATCAGAGGTTTAACAAAGACTGCCAGACTGATTCGCACACATAGCTGAGGGTACGCAGGATTCTAATCTTTTTGTGTCATCTATGTTACCAGTTGAAAACATGACACTTATGATGAACTTGACCTATGCTTTAGCCTCACACTGCAGGTGAGAACTTGTGATTGGATAGAAAGGTCTCCCACAGACAGGAGTAAGCTGCAACATGGTGCCTCAACCCTTGGGATTCAGTGCAAGTTTTTATATTTTTTTTTTTTTAAATAAATTTGTGACATCATCAACATTTGTTGGTTTCAAGTTGACTTTTCTTTTTAAAAGCAGTCAAACTGCTGTACAGTGTGGGACAAAATGTGTTCCTTGTTTTACATTAACATTCTGTTAACTTCTCGTGAGATCAGACAAGGCTGACAATTATATAGAATACCCATATCCTCTCACACATTATCCTTGCAATTTTGTTCTCAGATTCAAACAAACAAAACTGTCATGTGATTTGTGTAGTCAATGTATGCAGCAGAAAAGCAAAAACAAACAGCCAGACTGGAAATCTTACTTTCACTCACTCACTGTCAATCTCACTCACTGTCAATCTCACTCACTGTCAATCTCAATCACTGCTGCTTTGAGTGGCTATTAAATTCAGTACTTCTACTAGTAGATTTTGCATTCATGTCTAGGGTACATAATTATTTGTCCCATGTCAATGAACGCATGCTGCTAGAAAGATTAATACTAAACTAAAGCAGAAACAAAAGCATTGGTGCTGGAAAGCTAAGGAGATACATTAACTCTTTGAGTTCCAAGGAACACATCATACGTTATTAGGTTTCTACCTAGAAGTCCAATGAACATATGATGCACCCATTTTATGACTCTCTTTACTACCCTTGGGTGTGATGCTAAACACTCTGGGACTCAGAGTTAAGACAAGAGCCAGTTATTCTCAAATGACATTTATCAACAATACTAACATGGCATGCTGTTGTCTCAGTTTACTTACTGCCTGAGATAATTATGGTGGCAATTCTCTTCACAACTGCTGACTATTAGTACTAACAGTATTACTAGTATTAGTCTTTCTGGGCTATCCTCCAAATAACGGTCCTAAATTATCAAGGCAGAAAATATACCCTGACAAGGCCTCAGTCACGTGTCAATTGCACACTTCCGCCATCACCGAGAGTATCCCCACGCTGCGTGCATTAGGGCTAAACTAGATAGCTGGGACTCTCGAGCAGCAGCTACCGCATTTCCTGCAGCTTCCTTCATTTTATTTGCTTGTGAGTCCTAGCCATCTAGTTTAGCCCCAATCTCGGCAGTGGCGGAGGTTACCAGAAGTTCGCACTTCAGCGGTGGCGTTTAAGTCTCCGGAAGTGCGCAACTGACACGTGCCTGATTCCCTTTTGGGTATATTTTCCGCCTCGATAATTTAGGACTGTTATTCAGAGGATAGCTATCTTTCTGTCTATTTTAAAAAGAATTTTCAACGAATCTGCCAGTCCTCTAAATGAACATATAGTTAAATAATATTAAACCTGTGGAGACGATGCGGCCAAAATATTGACAAAACAAAGTAGCCGAAAGGATGACTGGGTCGATTGGCTGGTACTGTGTAATACAAGCAATGAGATTGGCTGGCAGGTTTCCAAATGAGGCAATCAGAATGCTTCTCGCATTTCTAGCATATGTGGCTTTCGAGAAATGTTGAGATGTTCTGTAATTTTACAGTGCTTTTTTAGTGGGGTTATCTGTGCCTAACAATGGTGAAAGGGCCTGTTGCGTCATAGTAGAAGGCATAAAAATGAGTCCCTCTATGTGCCTTATATTCCTAAAAACAAAAGTGTCTTAGGACTTTAACCTTTATCCATACAAAAAAGTTCACCCAAAATGTTTCAGGTTAGTCATGTTTGATCCCAAGTTTTAAAAAACTGCTTGCATAAATTATGCAATCATATAGTTATCTTGAATAAACATTGCGACTAGTTTGATTCATACATGTTCTGTACTGTTTGTTACTTCATTTCATTCAATTTCCAACCTGAATATATAGTTTTACTTTTTACATGTTACATTACATACAGGCTTTATTTTGTTTCAACAATTGTTGTGTGTGTGTAAGTGTAAACTAAGAGAATCCTCTCCTGAAGGTTTCGTCTTTTTGGCACTGAAACTCCACTTAACTTTCATTGACCAGCATGGCTAGCAACTGTCATACCCGGTATACCGACAGTGTGGTCCTGGTCAGCGTGGAAATTTGAAAATCACACGAAAATGATGTAACTTGTTACTTTTCTTAATTCTCTGAAGAATGTGAACGATTAGCCAGACCTGCTGAACTTATGTTAATTGTTATGTGACAGAAGACTGACTTCATTAAACAGTAACACTTACACGCAGACACTGTCACACTAGTGTTAAATTGGAAACAAGTACACTACTCAGAGCCTGTGGCCAGGACACGGAGAAGGAAGGTCTGTCTGTCCCTGTTGTTTGAAACCAGCAGGCTTTAAACTGCAAAGTAACAGCTGTGACTCTAAAATACAACTTCGGTTCAAACTTACTTTCTTTCAATTTTGTTTTAAAATCAGGATCGCTTCTTCGTTTTCTGTCAAAATAAAAACAATAGCCGATAAAGCAAATGCCCGCGCCGGCGGCGGCAATTCCTAAAGTGGTTCTAGACAACATGGTAGTTCGTCCCCTGCAGCCGTGTTCAACAACGGAAGTCGCTCTCCTCTTGTGGAAATCACTTCCTCTATGGACTGGGGGTTGTCCATCATTTATTCATTACATATATATATATATATATATATATATGGCTGTGAATCCTGGACAATCGGAAGACCGGCCAAACAATTTTTTTGACGCCTCAGAGATGTGGTTTTACAGAAGAATGCTTAGAATATCTTGGGCAGCCAAAAAGAGCAACCAAGAGGTTTTGAAAGAGGCGGGAGCCCGAAGACAACTTATCACAGACATCAGAAGGAGACAGTCATCATTTTTCGGCCATGTTATGATAAGAGGGAAAATAGAACATGTTGTGACCACTGGAAAGATCTGTGGAAGGAGAGATAGAGGAAGACAACGAGAGAAGATTCTTGACAGTCTTGTTGCATGGTATGGAGGTGTGTCGGCACACGAACTGCAGAAGATCGTGAATTATGGAAAGGCATGATCGCCACGCCAGTCGGCAAGGCACCTGATTTTATATATATATATATATATATATATATATATATATATATATATATATATATATATGGCTAATCACTAAGAAAAGCAAAGTTAAACTTTGGAGAGCCTGCATCTTACCTGTAGGTAACATACGGATGTGGGTCGTGGACTGTCTCCTCAGTCCTAGTTCCTTTATTCTTGACGCTTATAAACAGAAGCTGAAATATTTTGGCCGGATCAAGCGCCGCGACTAGAAAAAAATAATAGCAGAAGGCATGGTACTCAGAAAAAGGGGAAGGGTCGACCAACACGAAAAAAGGCACCGATGTAAATGACTCCTTGGGTAGGAAAGAGCACGAGGTGGGAGAGCTGACGATGGACCGAGTTTCTTTTAGGTAGACCGCGATAAGAGGGACGTTCTGCAAAGGACCTGCTACATGATGGTGTGTGTGTATGCACTGCAGTATTTTTGTCTTTTAGTTTGTAAGTCTGTCTGTCTTCCACTTTGTCCCTTGATATTCTCGCTTTAAAACTGCCACAGATTGCCGAAGCAATAGTTTGAGATAGCTGGAGTCAACGCGGGCTTTTATTCAACTGTTGCAAGTTCGTCTGCTGTTTTGTTCCACAGAGCTTCCACAACGGCCTGTATTCACCGCTCAGCTAGTGCCGCTTGCCCCTGTACCCGACAATATTATCTCCCCTACGTTGATGACGATGCTGTTTTTATTATTATTATTGAATTAAATGGTAAGATATTTAAACTTCCCACCGTGTGAGTCTGTACGTGTATATGTCTCACTGCCTATCTTACGCTCCCCGTAAGGTTTTATTCGGTTATAAAACTGGATATTTACAATAAGGGAGTGATTCTTCTTGTGTCAATTATTGCGTGAAACTGAGAACTTGTTGATATGGGCATGTGGTAACAGTCGACTAAATGTAGCTTTCCTTCGAAGTCAAAGTGCATCTGCCTGAGAGACAAGGAACCAACAGTCTGCATGCAAATAAATCAGATCTGTAAAACGGATGTGCACGCAGCGCATGTCCAGTGAGCCAGAACCACACAGAGAAACGAAACTGGGATCGATTAAAGGTCTTATGTAATTAATAACGCCATAGCAGGATGTTGATAGCGAGGGTATTGCCCCAGCTAATGCTTTCCGATTGTATTTACAGGAGATAGCCGTATTTGTAAAGATTGTTTCCACAGCTGAGACGTGTAGTCCGCTTAACTCGGGCTAAATAAGTCGTTTCTGACCCGAGAGAGAGAGAGAGGTGCACTTAAATCCCCCACGATCCTACGCCTTTGTTTCTCACTGCAGATAAATCTGGCAACAAATGACAAGAGCCTAATATCAACAACAACAAAACCGACTTGCGAAATATTTAGTGCAGTCATTGAAACTGTAACTCATTAACGAGCTTACAAATTTGCAGATAAGATTTATTATGTATTGCCGAATTCGCTGATATCTAAGTAAAACTGATGCTGCCAGCACGAAACAAGGCTAGGCGCTCAGTTCGCGTGTATCACTAAGAATCGACCAATCACAAGCTGACCAGCTTCATTATTCAGCATTCGGCAAACAAATTTCTCAACAGGACGCAATGTCATTAAGCCCCCGCCCCCCCCCCCCTTTTTTTTTCTTCCCCCTTTTGACATACCTTCATAACTCATGTCATACCATAAAATAACAAATGGGGTCGCGATCCATGGGCGGGAACCCTTGGTTTAGAGGTCTACACGTTTGACTGTCAAAGTTTGCTTTCATTTTTTTATGTATACAGATTTCATGTCATAGCACCTTGAACATTTTAAGCCCACAAATATCTTCGAAACAGATCAAGTTTGAGGAACCTGTACACAGTGCACGAGCTTTAAGCTCGGCCCCAACATGGGGTGCAATATTTTATTCTTTCAAAACCCCGGCTGTCGTCAGGGGTCCTAAATATAGCCTAGGGGTTGACTGGGGTTTCTGGGCCTTGCGCCCGGGTGATTCTCACCCGAATGGTGACACTTTGTGCTGTTCTGGTGGGGTCGCAAGCTTCAGAGCGCCGGCGACGACCCACTCGTGTGATACCGGAAGCAAACCCCTGCAATTAGGGTGACCATACGTCTTGTTTCCAACAGGTCAGTCCCGGTCTCAGTGTGTCCCGGGCCGTTCCGTCGGTACTAAACAAATTGTCACTTGTCCCGGGCCGTTCCGTCGGTACTAAACAAATTGTCACTTGTCTCGGGCCGTTCCGTCGGTACTAAACAAATTGTCACTTGTCCCCGGCCGTTCCGTCGGTACTAAACAAATTGTCACTTGTCCCCGGCCGTTCCGTCGGTACTAAACAAATTGTCACTTGTCCCGGGCCGTTCCGTCGGTACTAAACAAATTGTCACTTGTCCCGGGCCGTTCCGTCGGTACTAAACAAATTGTCACTTGTCACGGGCCGTTCCGTCGGTACTAAACAAATTGTCACTTGTCACGGGCCGTTCCGTCGGTACTAAACAAATTGTCACTTGTCCCGGGCCGTTCCGTCGGTACTAAACAAATTGTCACTTGTCCCGGGCCGTTCCGTCGGTACTAAACAAATTGTCACTTGTCACGGGCCGTTCCGTCGGTACTAAACAAATTGTCACTTGTCACGGGCCGTTCCGTCGGTACTAAACAAATTGTCACTTGTCACGGGCCGTTCCGTCGGTACTAAACAAATTGTCACTTGTCACGGGCCGTTCCGTCGGTACTAAACAAATTGTCACTTGTCCCCGGCCGTTCCGTCGGTACTAAACAAATTGTCACTTGTCCCGGGCCGTTCCGTCGGTACTAAACAAATTGTCACTTGTCCCGGGCCGTTCCGTCGGTACTAAACAAATTGTCACTTGTCCCCGGCCGTTCCGTCGGTACTAAACAAATTGTCACTTGTCCCGGGCCGTTCCGTCGGTACTAAACAAATTGTCACTTGTCCCGGGCCGTTCCGTCCGTACTAAACAAATTGTCACTTGTCACGGGCCGTTCCGTCGGTACTAAACAAATTGTCACTTGTCCCGGGCCGTTCCGTCGGTACTAAACAAATTGTCACTTGTCCCGGGCCGTTCCGTCGGTACTAAACAAATTGCCAGGTGTCCCGATCTCGGTGTTTCCCGGGCCGTTCCGTCGGTACTAAACAAATTGTCACTTGTCCCGGGCCGTTCCGTCGGTACTAAACAAATTGTCACTTGTCCCGGGCCGTTCCGTCGGTACTAAACAAATTGTCACTTGTCCCGGGCCGTTCCGTCGGAACTAAACAAATTGCCAGGTGTCCCGATCTCGGTGTTTCCCGGGCCGTTCCGTCGGTACTAAACAAATTGTCACTTGTCCCCGGCCGTTCCGTCGGTACTAAACAAATTGTCACTTGTCCCGGGCCGTTCCGTCGGTACTAAACAAATTGTCAGGTGTCCCGATCTCGGTGTTTCCCGGGCCGTTCCGTCGGTACTATCCACATTGTCAGTTGTTCCATTCTCAGTGTGTCACGGGCCGTTCTGTCTGTATTAAACAAATTGTCAGTTGTTCCGTTCTCGGTGTGTCACGGGTCGTTCTGTCGGTACTAAACAAATTGTCGGTTTTATAAACAAAAAATCCCATGAATTATCTCAGAACAGAAACAGAACCTGCAGTTTATTTTTACCTGTAGACCTGAACAGATTTCATAGTTGTTGTCGATACTTGTGATTATGGTTTAGGGGGAAAACAATGATCTCTATTTAATTTGACCTCAAGGATCTTATCTCTTCCTGAAATACAAATCTTAATGATGAAACATAAAATAAAGCAGGTGGGATTATGAACTAAGTCTTATATATATATATATATATATATATATATATATATATATATATATATATATATATATATATATATATATATACTAGCTGTACCTGGCCACGCGTTGCTGTGGCATAGTTTGGCTAAATGGAAATGAAAGAAAATAGAAATCGCACGTGTCTAATACAATCATTGTCTGCTCAGATATAGAGATAGTCTTTGATCCCCACCCCACCACCCCCCCCCCCACCCCACCCCCAACTAAATCCACCTACTACCCTCCCCCTTATCAAATTTATGTCATTACCCCCCCCCCTCCCCTCTTCCACCGACTACTGCTTTCTCCCTCTTCGAAATATTTGGAAAATAATCATTACCTGGCGATATTTTTTTTGTTGCTGTAACTGACATTGACATCCCTGTCCATCTGGACTAAAATGGGGAGCAGGAATTGTAATAGGTAGTGAATGGGGCTAGTGTAATATTTACCACATCATCCTTCAAGTACCAGTACAACTACTAAAATAATGTCACTGCAATCTGTGTTACCATCGGAGTAGACAGAGAGTCGTGAGCCAGAAGATTTGGTTCCGCATGGCTAGTGCTGTCGCCACAGACTGGTCAGGTTAGGATGTATAATTTCACTTGCCGACAGAAGAACGCCATAACCTTACCGGCGGTCTTCACATGAGAGCACTATGGTGTAACAGCCCAACCACAACT